GCAAAGCTACACAGAGAAACCCTGTCTCGAAAAACCAAAAAAAAAAAAAAAAAAAAAAAAACAGCAACACTGACCATAAGTGGATTCCACTTTTACCTGATGTAGAAGGCCATGTCATTCATGTCCTATTTAACTAGCACTACAATGCATTCATTTAAAAGATTTCAAAGGGGGCTGGAGAGATGGCTCAGTGGCTAAGGGCACTGGCTGCTATTACAGAAGACTAAGGTTTGATTCCCAGCACCCACTCGGTAACTCACAACTATCCAGGGGATCTGATGCCCTTATCTGGCCTTCATGGTCACCAGGTACACATGGTACACAGGTACACATGACATGCAAATGGTACACAGACATGCATGCAGGCAAAATAGCATATATGCAAAATGGAATAATAAAAATTGTATTGTGGCACATATACACAATGGAATACTACTCAGCAGAGAAAAACAATGACATCATACGGTTTGCAGGCAAATGGATGGATCTAAAAAAAATCATCCTGAGTGAGGTAACCCAGACTCAGAAAGACAAATATGGTATGTACTCACTCATAGGAGGATACTAGATGTGGAACAAGGATGACTGGACTGCTACTCACATCACCAGTGAGGCTACCTGGAAAACAGGACCCCAAGAAAGACACAGGGATCACCCAATGATGGAGAAATGGATGAGATCTACATGAACAGCCTGGACATGAGTGGGAGCAATGAATGGCGAGGTCAAGGGAAAGAGAGCGGGAGATCCCACCTGGATCAAGAACAGAGAGGGAGAACAAGGAATAGGAGACCATGGTAAATGAAAACCACATGAGAAAAGGAAGAAACAAAGTGCTAAAGAGGCCCACAGAAATCCACAAAGATACCCCCACAAAAGACTGCTGGCAATGACTGAGAGACAGCCGGGACTGACCTTCTCTGGTGATGGGATGGCCAAACACCCTAATAGTTGGGCCAGAAACCCCATCCAAGGACTGAGGAATCTGGATGCAGACATCCACAGCGAGGCTCCCAGGTGGAGCGCTGGGAGTCTAATTAGCGAGAAAGAGGAGGTTTTATATGAGTGAGAATTGTTGAAACCAAGGTTGGATAAAGCACAGGGACAAATAGCCAAATGAATGGAAACACATGAACTATGAACCAAAGGCTGAGGGGCCCTCAACTGGATCAGGCCCTCTGAATAGGTGAGAAAAGTTGATTGGCTTGATCTGTTTGGGAGGCATCTAGGCAGTGGTACCAGGTCCTGGGCTCACTGCATGAGTTGGCTGTTTGAAACCTGGGACTTATACAGGGACGCTTGGCTCAGTCTGGGAGGAGGGGACTGGACCTGCCTGGACTGAGTCTATCAGGTCGATCTCAGTCCTCGGGGGTGGCCTTGATCTGGAGGTGGTGGGAATGGGGAGTGGGCTGGGGGAAGGGGAGGGGGCAGGAAGGGGGAGAACAAGGGAATCTGTGGTTGTTATGTAGAACTGTATAGTATTGTAAAATAAAAATTTAAAAAAATTAACTCAAAAAAATTGTATTTCAGGGGCTGGAGATGTGGTTCAGCTGGTAGTAGTTGCCAAACATGCACAAAGCCCATCCCTTCCATCCCTGATGCTGTCGACACTGGTGTAGTGGATACACTTGTAGTCCCAGCATTCAGGAGGTGGAGGCAGGAGAGCAAAAGTTCAAAATCATCCTCAGCTACACACTGGAGGCCAGCCTGGGATGAAACAAACAGACACAAACAAAAAGCACGTTACACTTAAATTAAAAAAAAAAAAAAAGTAAGCCAGGAGTGGTTGTACATGCCTTTAATTCCAGAACTTGAGAGGCAGAGAGGCAAGTGGACTGCCATGAGTTCAAGGCTGAACTGGCCTACATAGTGATCTAAAACAGCCAAGGGTGCGTAGAGAGTCCCTGTCTCAAAACAAACGAACAAGGTAAAGTGAGGAAAAAATAGTCAGTGATCCTTGACTCTGTTGAAAAGCCAAAATGGGCTACTGAGATGGCACAGCAGGTGGGGGCACTGCCCACCAAGCCTGGCGACTGAGTTCTGTCCCACATGATGGGAGCAGAGACCTGACGTCTGCAAGCTGTCCTCTGACCTCTACACATATAACACAGTATGCACACCCCACCCCCATTAAGGAAATAAAAATGTAGTGAAATTACTTTTAAAAAGCAGATAAGGGGTGGGAAAGATGGCTTAGGGGCTAAGAGCACTGGCTGCTCTTCCAGAGGACCTGAATTAGATTCCCAACAACCACATGGTGATTCACAGTCATTCATAACTCCAGTTCCAGGGCATCTAATGCCCTCTTTGGTCACTGCACACACGTGGTGCACATAAATACATGAAAACAAAACATCCATATACACAAAATAAAAGAACCTTCAGCCAGGTGGTGGTGGTGCATGCCTTTAATCTACAGGGCAAGTTCCAGGACAGCCAGAGTTACACAGAGAAATCCTGTCTCAAGAAACAAAAGCAAGCAACTAAAAACATAAGAATTGCTGGGTGTAGTGGCTCATGCCTTTAATCCCAACACTCAGGAGGCAGAGGCAGGCAGATCTCTGTAAGTTCAAGGCCAGTCTGGTCTACAAAGCAAGTTCCAGGACAGCCAGGGCTGTTACAGAGAGAAAACTACCACAATAGAAGCTTCTTAAAATATGTGCATATATGACAGAAATCTAAATGGAATCAATCACCAAATAGTGGGGGAGAGAAAAACTTCAACTAGACATCTCTCACCACCAAATGAAATCTCCAGTGCCAGGGATGGATTACATCTAGTTGAACTGTTAGCTTAAGGGACCCTATTGAAACTCCTAAACAACTTAGGCTATTGGTTACTCCACAAATGGATGGTAAGGCCCTTTTGCTGAAGACAACACATATATAACTCATTGAACACAAAGAAGTCAAGTTGGTGCCTACCTAGAGCCTTCACCCCTACACTAGTTCATGGTACTGGAAGGTACTCTGCACACTATCAAAGGATAAAGGTAAACACCACCCCAGTTACAAAACCTTCAATTTACAATTGTGGTCTGCCTGCAAAGTACACTGGTCCAATAGTGGCACAAACATTATGGCACAAATACTATTGTTCTGCTAAAGGAACACAGCAATAAAATAAACCTAATGACATTCTACTGTACTCATACATCAGTGTCTTGTTCAGCCATCATCAGAGAAGCTTCCTCCTGCAGCAGATGGGAACAAATACAGAGACCCACAAAAGGACATTGTGCAGAGAATAAGAGGCCTTGGAACACTCAGTCCTAAATGGGATGTCTTCATGAAATCCCTCCCCCTCAGGACTTAATGAAACTCTGCAGAAAGACTGTAAGAGCCAGTGGAGATGGAAGACACCAAGGAAACAAAGCATTCTAGACACAACAGGACTGATGTACATATGAATTCACGAAGACTGAGGCAGCATGCACAGGACCTGCAAAGGTCTAGGCCAGATGAGGTCCTGGCACCGAGAGGGGAAGTGGACTCAAGCCTCCATCCCTAACTCAGAATTGACAAGACAAAGGAAAAATTCATTTTCTCCAACAGAATCTCACAGGGCATATAAACCACACTTAAGGGCAGACCCATGCCGAGCAAACTCAAAGCAAACACAAAGCAAACTCAATAATGTTTTTGAAGGATTTTCATCTCATAATACTTTGGGCATTTTTACCTTACCAGTCTTTTGTTTATATATTATTATGTTTACCTGTTTTGTGTTTTTATAGGATTTCTCTCTCTCTCTCTCTCTCTCTCTCTCTCTCTCTCTCTGTCTGTCTTCCTCTCCCCCACCTCTATGTGTGTATTTGTGTGTAAATGGAGTCAGAGTCTTTCTGTCCTGACACCTGGTAGCTGCTTTCAAAATTACCACACAGAGGCTTACATTAATTATAAATGTTCGGCCGATGGCTCAGGCTTATGACTAACTAGCTCTTACATTTAAATTAGCCCATATCTACTAACCTATTTATTGCCATGTAGTCCGTGGATTACCAGTTCTCTGGCATCTTGCTTCTTGGGCAGTCAGCTCACATCTGTCTCGACTCCGCCCCTTTTCCTCTGAGTCCTTAGTCCACCTAACCTTATCCTGCCTTACCAGAGGCCAAAACAGCTTTATTATCAACCAAGGAGAGCAATACATTTTCACAGCACACAGAAGGATCATCCTACAGCAAGTGTGTGTGTGTGTGTGTGTGTGTGTGTGTGTGTGTGTGTGTGTGTGCGCGTGCGCGCGCGCGCATGCGTGTGTGTTTCTACATCTCTACTGCTTCTTTTCTTTGGCTATTTATTTATTTATTTATTTGTTTTTTTTTTTTGAGACAGGGTTTCTCTGTGTAGCCTTGGCTGTCCTGGAACTCAGGATGGCTTCAAACTCACAGAGATCCACCTGCCTCTGCCTCTCGAGTGCTGGGATTATTTTTGTCCTATTCTGTTTTTATTTTATAATTTGTTTATTTATTTTTTAGATGCCTGTTTATTTTCTGATGATAGAGAAAGAAAGGGAGTGGATTTGGGGATGTGGGGAGGATCTGGGAGGAATTTGGGGAAGGAAAACTATGATCAGCATATATTACATAAAAAACATCCATTTTCAATTAAAAAAGGAAGCTATAAGAGAAAAAAGTTGTATCTTTAAAATTCATACATACATTATATGACACACACACACATTTTAAGTTTGGCATGTCAAGAATAGCATCTTGAATAAAATATATAAATATTGTAATCCCCTATAGCCACATGAGTGGCCAGGCCCCTCCCCCAAAGACCTCTAACTGCCATATTCCGCCCACAGAATACTATAACTGCCCTAACGGCTGGACCCTGCCCCAATCCTAAAGAGTAAATTCCAATCTGTGTACATGAAATCCCACCAATGTCCACCTTGGAAAGCTCCACACTGAAAAGTTCCACCTACTAAGTTTTCTGTACCCTAATAATAGGTTTCTCCGCTGATGCAGTAAGCCAGATCAAGCTGAATCAAAAAAGTAAAAGAATAGGTTTACTTGAGCAAAACAGCTCCCAGGTGAGTACTCCAGCCCCAGAGATCAAGGCAGGTGAAGTCACACGCCCAAACTAAAGCAGGGAGTTTATACAACCTGTAAGCAAGGAGTGATGATGTGTCCGCCACAAGCTGGGGTTGTGCCCAAGTATGGTCAAAAGCTGGAATGCTTGGGTGGGGACTTGGGCACCTGGCAACTTCAGGACAGGAGCTGCTGTAGTCACCAAGAATGGGGAACTGGGCTTTTTGGGTGGCTTCCCTTTGTTCAGAGATTCTCTGAGTGATTGGGGAGAGGAATGAGGCTTTCTGGATCAAGCAGGAGTGAGCTGGAGGTTCTAGCCCATCCCCACACCCTTCCCAAGAAACTCTACATAAACCTCGTATCCTGTTCGTTTGGCTGCTGTTTCTCACCTGAGCAGAGGCAGCCACTCTCGTTTTTTTTTCCCTCCAAATAAATAACTTATGTGAGGTTTGTTGTGTGGTGTGACTTTGTGAAATTCCTTAGCTCCTGGCTGCCAGGATACCTTTCCACACGAGCTGCAATGCTTACATTTGGTATCCCCTCGTGGTCTAAGCTGCACTAGGACCCATCCCTTATCTCCAGTCCACCTGCAACAGATTCACCTTCTGGCTCACTGATCACTCAGCACCCCATCCATCAGCAGCAACTAGGTAAGTTTACCCTTGGTCAGTGTAAATGTTTCCTTGAGTCTGAGGACGTGGCTGTTGAGTGCCTGGCACCCCTCTGGTACCTTAGAGCCAGAAGTAACCCCAGCCATTAACGTTATGGCTGGCCCTCTTCACCTACCCCATCCCACCCCCCCTTGGAGCTGCAATCCTACAGCTTCCTTAGGGCTAACCAGGCTATTGCATCCCTTCCCGCCCTCTTCTCTCACCTTTCCCCTGGAGCTGTTGGTAATCCCACAGCTCTTTTAGGCCTTCGAGGCTTTTGTGACCCCATTTCCCAACCCTTTCATATGGAGGGGACTCCTCTTCCTAGAGCTCGGTTTTCATTCTTGCCCTCTTGCCTCTACAAAAGCCCTGGTTCCAAGTGCCAAGTCTTTCTGCTGTCTTAGCCAGGCTAAGATCCTGTTGAGTGTGGTGATGACCCACTGAATAGCTTGGTCTTCTTTCAGTCTTCCCTGAGTCCTGGGGACACCCATGACTATAGGCTGAAGTGACATTTTCCTTTTCTCTCATCCATGGGAACGTGTCTTCCATACCCTCTCACTCCCCTTCGGGATGCCTCTTAGAAAACCTCCAGTCTCTCCAACTGACACCCAACCTGAAGGACACCAAATTTATTCACTTTTGCAATCAAAGAGCCTCACTACCTCTTAGATAATCAATCCAAAGGGCCACCTAATGGCCTCCTAGATCCTAATATTATTTGGGACCTTTACAAATACTATGAGTGATCAGGGAAATGGAAAGAGATTTCCACATTCCCCATTTCTTGGCTCCAAGCCCTGTTTCTTTTTTTCTAGTTGCTCCACCACACAAACTGTGTAAATGTCCTGCCTTTTAAGTTACCACAGATGAATCTGTAAGTTTGTTGAGAAGCAGGAGCTAGGAGCAAGACCTAGGGGGAGGAGAAGAAAGCAGAGTAGGCCAGATGGAGCATGCATGCACCCTGCACACACTCGTCACTGGCAGACACTTCTCTCAGCTGCATCCTGCAGCATCTTTTGTCGATAACCAGAACTCAAAACTTTCCTATCTCTAAGCCTTCTTTGTTCTCAGCTTGCTAGATTCAGTTTTATAGGCATTCAGGCATCTTTTAGGTATGAGTGGCTCTAGACTGTTGTTTTATGCTGTCCCACCTGGATTAAAATCTGGCTCTAGAGTTAGGGTATGGCTCCCCCTCCTTTAGATCCAAGCAATACTTGTTTAAAGTTTTCTTTAAAAAAAAATATCAGGTGAGCCATCTACTGTGAGACAGAGAAAGGAGAGCAAAGCAAAATAAAGGGCTGGACTACTTCCAGCGGGGACTATAGCTACTCATCTCATCTTTAGTTTGGTCTCCCCACCTATATTTCCCACCTGGCTACTGGCCAATCAGCATTTTATTACACCAATTTGAGTGACAAATATTTACAGTGGAGCAGGTAGAGGAGAAAATAGCTGGGGAAGTGCAAGTGTTTTAGTAAGTAGAATTGCGCATGTGGCAAGGCCCTGAAGGGCATTGCAGGGAGTGTGCCTACATGGTGGGCAGCCCAAAGGGCTCTAACCACTTGTCTCTCCCCTTCTACTGGCTGTCACTATAAAGCTCCTAGTTTTGTTTACTTTTACTATGAAACCCACACAGGTGTGCCAGAATACCTTTCCCTTCTAAGCTATAATGCCCAAAGGTATAGCCTGGCTTCCAACAACTAGGATACCTTTCCCTCCAGAGTTGTAACACATTTTGTTGCCAGAACCCAGGACTGACTACTTCCCTAGATATTTACCATCAGTTTTCCTTTCACTTCATCCAGGATCTCCAATTGGTGGCTCAGAGCCAGAGGCCCATGACTCCTGATTATACCCTGATGGTGAAGATCCATTTCACCCAAAGGACTTCGGTACCCTGATTCAGCAGGAAGTAGTCTAATGATAACATTGCCCCCTTTTCCATGACCTGGTTGTTTATCAATAATAAACAAAAAATGGGGGAATATAAATCCCCTCTAGCCACACAAGTAGCCAGACCCCTCCCACAAAAACCTCTAACTGCCAGGTTCCACCCACAGGATACTCTAACTGCCCTGACTTCTGGATCCTGCTTCGATCCTATAGAGCAAGAATCTCAATCTATGGACATGAAATCCCACCAATCTCCACCTTGGAAAGCTCCACCCTGAAAAGTTTCACCCCCTTCCCAGAAACTCTATATAAGCCCTGTACCCTGTTCAGTTTGCTGCTGTTTGTCACCTGAGCAGAGGCAGCCACCCCCCTGTTTTTTCCCCTCTCAATAAATCTCTTGTGTGAGGTTTGCTGTGTGGTGTACTTTGTGGTATTTCTTGGCTTCTGGCTGCCAGGGTATCTTTCCATCTGAACTGTAATGCTTACCAATATTAAGTGGCTACATGTCTGTGGGTCTTTGAGTAACCCCACTTTTCCTTAGCATACTCTTGAGTAGGAGCAGCAGGAAATATTAGATAAAAGTATAGAGGGGAGAGAAGCAGAAAGAAAATACAGGATAGACTCGGGAGGGCCTGGATCCTAATCCATCGGGCCCTGACTGCCTCTGCCAAAGGGTTTTAAAAGGAATGCCAAGGGGTGGATCAAAAGACCTTCCCCCAGCGCAGTCAAGTGCAGACCATCTCAGACCCCTGGTACTCAAGCCCATGGTCCAGTCATCCTCTTTATGCAAACCTGCTGGGTAAAGCCACCTGGGTAAAGCCACTAGGTCCAACAGGTCACCCCTTCTTAATATATTTTTTTAAAAACTCCCCATTAAGAGCTCACAGCAATCTCCATAGTTTTCATAACTCCCAGTATAGGAGTAGAGGATAATAAAGGTGGCATTTCTCTTTTGGAATGGGTCTAAGGTGACTACAGCAGTCTTAGCTGCATCAAGCCCTTTAACTCAAAAAACTCTTGATGCAACCACATCAAATTTAAAGACTCTCTTAGCTTCATCATTAACATTAACAGGTTGACATAATTCTAGCATAAATATTGTTATACATAGTTATAATTCTCTCAAACTTACATCCAATATAACCATTAACACTTTAAAAACTTTCCAAAAGCAATTTCTTAATAGAACTCTTTACACTTTAAAGCAATCTCTTAATATAACTATACAAACATAACAATTCACTCAAATAATAAGAAAGTATTTTTTAAATTAAATAGACTGGGGAATATTAATTACCCCTTTTCTTTATAAATTTTTAAACCCAAACTTCTTCATTTAAACAATTCCATTTTTAACACAAAACCAGTTCATGAATCATCACTGTCAATAGAGTCTATATTCACAAGTCTCGTTGCAATGAAATCACTACTGTCCATTTCATTTAAGTCCTAAAAGTTCAGAAGAATAAATTCTGGTACAAGGCCTAAAAGTTCCTCTGATTGCTCAAAATCAGGGCCTAGCTTGTTAGCTGCCCTTAAGTCTTGTTATAGCAAACAGCTCCAAATATGAGGCGTCCAATAACCAAAACTTTTTCTCAGTTCAAGCAAGCTTCTCTGAAACTTTTGCTTTCAGCTACCACTGTGCTTTGCAGTCCTTAGCCTTCCATAACCAGGCCATTCCCAGACCCCTGTGTCCTGAGGCTAGAGAGCTTTCAAATGCCTCATGTCACACTCCAGCTGCTATGAGCTGAGCTGTGGCTTTCCCACAGCAACCTTGGCTTTGGGGAGAGTCCCATTAACTGCTTTGCTGACAGTATAGTGCTCAGCACCCTGGGTTCTGAAATCCTCCATATGCTGCCCTATTGCACTGCTGAATGTAGCCCTAGGGCAACCCCATGGATCCAGCCACACCTTGCTGCTGGGAGCTCCTCTGCATCTCAGCAGTTCTTGCAGAGTCCTACTCTGGCTGTTCAGCCTGGAGCACTCATCAGTTCTGAGTGTCTCAGCTGTTCATCCAGTGCTAACACTGCTCTGCTCTCAGGCTCCAGAAGCAATCTGGTCTCTGCAGTCTCCATTGCTCATTGTTGCTCACTGTTCACCTTTCTTGAGGTGAGGTAAGCTGCTGGGCTCTCCAGGCAGCTGCCTGCTGTTCATGTTTCTTGTGGTCTAGCATCTCACAGGTTGCAGAACCTCACTGTTCTCACTGTCTCAGGGGTCTGCCACCTGCACTGTGCTGATGCCTCACTCGTCTCAGTTGTACATGTTCTATTGCTGCTGTTTCTGAAGCTGGCAGTCTCTGGGGCAGCTCTTTGTTGTTATTGGTGGCTTTTGGAACTGCCAGTTTGCAGTCTGCTATGGATTCTCTTTTCTGCATCCCAGGTAGGAAAACACCTGCTCTAAATTACTTTCTTATTTAAATTTAAATTCTTTAGAACTACTTCATAATGCTTACCTAAGTCTTATTTGAGCCTACACAATATCTTTATGCTTAAAGCTTATTCTATTTCATGTATGTATACAACTAGCATGGCCATTTACTACATGTATTTACATTAAGTATTTATACTCACACTCAGCATTTACATTTTTCACAAACTCACATTCAACATATACTTATTTATACTTCTTACAAGCTTATTTTCTTAAGGAAACTCTATAGGACTACCTTAGCAAAGATACTTCTTACTCTTAACAGAACTAACTTACACAAGGAAGAATCTCTTAGCAAACTCTCTATAGGGCTACCATTAGCAAATATCTAACTTAGCAAACACCTAAAGGATTTCTTTTTTTTTTTTTTTGAAGTGCTAAATATTCTTTATTTGATATTATACATAGGTCACAGTAAGTGCCTTTCAATGGTGAAAGGCAGCATCCTTTGACAGGGAACTCTAATTAAAATGACATCATCAAGTCAAGAATAGACAGTTGCTTCCTGGCATTCCATTACCTGTAACAGGCCAGTGAAAACTGAAACACAGGTGAGTCTTCTTGTTTCTGAGAGTGACAGAATTCTCCCAGTGTTTAAACATATCCATATTCCCCATTATATAAATTTAAATAAAAAACCATTCAATAGGTTTGAGGTGACACCCCATCTTTGTGGAAAGTATAACTTTAGTAAGTCCAATCCGATCTTGAGAAAGGGAGAGCCGTGATAGTGACTGGAATTGTTATTTTTAAAAAAAGATCATATCAACTTTACTATAAGTCATTTTTACTTAAATCAGGACCATCCCAACAAAAACATTGTTAGCCATTCATGATCTGAATTTTGATGTATGAATTAAATTATGGCACACATTAAAAGCCATGAGATATTTGTTTTGTAATAAATAAGGCAGTGGAATTACTCATTAGTAGCCTTTTTAAGATAAGCTATTAGGTCTGCCCTTTCTCCCTTCTTCTTAATTCCAGCGAAGATCATTTTTGTTCCAGGGATGTACTTTTTGGGATTCTCCAAATACTCCATCAGGGTATCCTCTCCCCAGGTGATGCCTTTGTTCTTGTTGGCATCTGTGTACGAGAATCCAGCGGCCTGACCAGTCTTCCTCCCAAAAAGACCATGGAGGTTTGGTCCAGTCTTATGCCTGCCTCCCTTTTCCACAGTGTGGCACTGGGCACACTTCTGAACAAAAATCTTCTTGCCTTTCTCAACATCACCCATTTTTATTTCGCTCCCGGGTGACCGACACCTCGATCGCTACGACCCGAAGACGGACGTCCCGCTCTCTCAAGGATTTCTTAACACATAGAAGAGATTTAACATTATCTTCCAACAAGACAGAAAGTAATTTTCTTTGGACTTCATTTAGAAAATAGAAATAAAAGTAAACTGTTAGTTATCAAACCCAAAAAGAGAATGAGAAGAAAAACCTTCTAAGGGGCATATGTACTTCTAAGTGACTTCACTGCCCTTGTAGGTAGCTCTTTGTTATCCAACTACCATAAAAAACACTCTGTGCAGCTATTAGGCAATATAAAGCATTTTCTCAAAGGAGACTGTACAGCCAAAAGTGCCACAGCTCCAAGTTTCATATCCTTTCAGTTTTTCATTGGAGCTTACATTCAACAAACTCTCAATTTTCCTCCTTCTCAACTTTTTCTTTTTCTTTTTGGTTTGAATCTGCTGCAATTTTACTTCTGCAAATCAGTAGTTTATATACAGAAAAGAAAACTATCAAGTCATACAGGGAACAACAAGAGCTTGGCAATAATTCAATTACATCATCTTTTAAAAAATAGCAAGCACACCATTATTAATCGGCACTAGACATATCCCTTCACCCACAAGAACTTTATGACCCAAAGAGCAGTCTGTGTTTTTTAAACTTAGTACAGTCCCTAGACTTGTGTAGGCTTCTTGCAGCTGTGTCCTTCATCTTTATCTCAGCCGCTCACTAGTTTTTTTTATTATTCATTTTTAGTTTTCTGGTTCTCATGACCCATTTAGCTAATTTGGATACTGCAGATCCTCCCTAAGTCTTTCTTCAGTTCTTTACCATATATATCTTCTAATATAAAACCTTTTTACCTGCTGGAATATGGACTCTTGTACTTTTATGCCTGTAAGGGGAAGGGGTTCTGCTGTAGTCCTTAAGTTTTCCATGCTGAACTTCCTCAACAGAGGGGTCCACCATCTGCCTCCTATGAGATAACATCTTTTGTCATAAATCACTTTAGTTGGGATTCCTAAAGGATTCCTAGTGGGTGAGTGTTCATTCCCTAGAGGTGCCTGAACTATTATACTTTCTTTATCTAGCGGCTTGGGGTCTTTAAGGAATAGCTCATTCTGCTATTCCTAAGTAAGGTCCATGTCCAGCTTCCCCTTTCCTTCATAGTTCACAACCCAAGCATTCATTAATTTTGGCTGTGCTTCATAGATTAATTAGAACATTATCAGAGAAGCAGTTATACAGAACCCATAGCCCAGAGAGCTCAGGATCTGTGAAGCACATCTTATTTGAGAAGGAGGCATAACACGGGCACTCTGCTGGGGACCTCCAGGGAGCTTAGTCCTGTGGGACACCTATCTCCTGTCCGCTATTATTGACATAATTGTTTATGTCACACGGACGCCACTGGAGTTGGTGTGGCTCATAAGGTTGCATGTCTCTGCAGTCGCAATCTGGTGCTGTATCCTGGAGGATTCCCGGAGAGCTGCTGGTCTTTAGTCTGTCCTGGAATCCTGAAGAAGTTATATTTAATCCCAGCCTCAGCCAGGGTCGAGTGAGGGTAAGCAGGCACAAAGCAAAGCTTCCTTCTAGGTCCTCTATTTGGATTGCCACCAGAAGGAGTGACCCAGATTTAGGGTGGACCTTCCTACTGCAAATAATTAATTAAGAAAATCCCTTAGAGATGTGCTCAACTGCTTGGGTTATAGTTGATTCCAGATGTAGTCAGGCTGATTCC